TTCAAGGAATTTCTTCTTCTCCCTGGAAATAGCCATGAGCCTTTCTCCTACCCCAGACTTCATGTTGTAGTGATTGCAAGATAGGTACATCTTGTGGGTCCCAAGCAGTAGCCCTTATTTATCAGAGCATGAAAAATGTGTGAAAAAGTAAAAATAGGGCAAATAAGGCAATTACATCAATCCTAAGAAAACTTTGTTCTCATCTGAGCAGTACCTTCAGCTCTGATAGACAGATGTTACATCAGCTGTTTAGCAAGTGCCTCCCTACTATTTTCTTAGCTTGTATTGCTATCTTGAGAATAAGATTTCACCACCATTTACACACAGACACTCATGGAGTGTTCAACATACTCTTGAATTGTGTCTGTGGTCTAAATTCTGTAAAGTATGTTGATATTTTTAGGAAAAAAAATGAAGCGTAATCTCTCATCTGTTTCAAATTACACAGGAAAAATACCAAGTATATTAGCAACAAATTGATATGCATACAGATATTTCACAGAGGGGAAAAATGCAGGAATGCCAAAATACAATTACAGGAAAGGAAATAATGCAAACAGGCAATGATTTACCATCCTCACATTTTCTAACCAAATGCTGCCTGCCTTTAGTTAGTATCCAGTGCAGTGTAATAAATACAGTGTTTGAAAAAAATGTGCTTTTTCATGTCTATTCGCTACCTAGAAAGCTCCTGATACCTAATCTGGAAGCAGACAGAATTCAAAAAAGGTGCCTCTTTTCCAGTGAAGACGTGACTTCCCCTCCAAGGGCCTGGGGCACTGTGCCTCAGATGCTAATAGCTTGGGTTGTGTGCAATAGCCCTATATTGTTTATATAGCACTTCACATGTTCAAAGCACTATGAGATATCAGCCATCACTACACTTTTATGAGGCTGTAAGTATTACCCACTAAACATCAGGGTTCAAATGACTCGCTCTTGATCAAAAGAAACTTTGTGCTGCAGGACCATAATTATTTGAATTTGGTAATTCTGGCAGACCATTCCTATGGCAACACAGAATGAAGAGGGGGATGGGATATTAAAGCCATTTGCTATTGCACTCTGCTCTGGCAGCGAGATATGGACACATGGAGGATCTCTAAAGCAAACCTGCACTCAGCACCTTTTGATTAAAAAAATCAAGAGCACAAAGTAAACAAAAGATTTCAAAAGTCCCCAAGCGTGTTTTTATGAATATATCTATTTCATATAATCACTGCAAAGAACCTAAAAGACAACAAGCAAACAGTACTGAAATACTCCAGAAATCCTAACATGGTGTTCCAAATTTATTCTGAATCAGTGTGGCTTTTTTTAAACCAAGAGGATTTGTAGGCAATTTAAAAGTAATCAGTCCATTTTCTTCAGATAAAGAACTACAGTCTACTGTCTTACAGTTGACTAAAGAAGGACTCAATAACTTTTAGAAATATAGAATATTTTTACTGTCCATATTTATACATACTTTCTTCCTACAAAAACTCAGTTTCTATGCTGACATTCATAACTGTAGCCCCGAAGTATCAAGTCTCCATTCCCATAAAAAGAATACAAACATATTGAAAATCAACCAATGAATCCACAGTATATATAACAACTAAATAAAGACTTGACATAAATGCTAAACAGGACACAATCTGAAGATTCTTCCCTTTACAACTGAAAACATTTTACATAAAAATACTAACACTGAGATTGAAGACAGAATAAGAAAATTTATCCTGTGCTTTTCCATCCAGTGCCCATCCTATCATACAACATTCTCTTTCCCCACCTCTCACGTTTTAACTTGCACACAGTCTTGGTTTCCACAGATACCACGTGTTCTCAGAGCACAACTTCCCAGTTATTGGCCTTAGAATCTTGCCTGCAGAATCACATGGGAAATAGATCAGACTACTAAGGTAAAAATGCGGACCACTACACATAATCCAGATTCATCAAATAAAAGAAGGATGCCTGTTTAAAGCTATAACAGGAAGAGGGAGGGAAAGAAATTCCCTTCAAAGGCAGTAATGAGTGGAGAGAATGACTTACAGAATCTCTTCTGTTTTAGTCAGGTTGATCATGTTGCTATTAATGTTTACCCCCTCTACCTGACAACTTTCACTTGACATTTTTCAGGTATAGGCCACACAGAGCTCTATGCCAGACTGTGCTTGCAATTCATTTTGTCTTGAATTACATTGCCTGGAAAGTTAAATTACTGAAATATTTGCTAAAATATTAAAGTTTAAGCATAACATCAGTAGGTGAGCATTACTTCATGGATATAAGTATAAGAAGCAGTTACCATACTCCATCTACTGATCTAAAGAACAGATGTTTGGTATGATTTATGGACACTGAAATGTGTGCATATCTTCCATAAATAGTAATGTGTTCCAATGACAAAGAGTGGAGAACTGTGATTCAAAAGGCTGGGAAAATACAGGCAGTATAAGAATTTATTTACCGATTTCTTGGCTTTAAGTAAAAAGCAAAGCTTATAGAGCCAGGGCCTCAATCCTGTATGTTGGAAAAGCTCTTATGATTTCAAAAAGGACTAACAACATGAAGTAATAAATTGCATTCAGGCTCAATAGGTCAGATATAAAAGTCTGTATAGAACATGAGTGCAACTATGATTTGTTAAATAAGAGTAACAATTTATATTGATTGAAGCACAACAAATCTAAAGCAGTACACAAAAAGACAATATTGCCTTGGGTATTTTTACATTAAATTTGGGGTTGGAAGGGTCTTTAATATCAAGATTTAACACAATACTAATCAGGTAAAATTCTAATGGGCAAAGTACAGTTTTGAGCTCTGCAATTAAATTATTTCTGGAAGTGCAATCAAATATTTGATTGAACTAATATCATTGCTGCTCCTCACATTTGTTCTGCTCCTAAATTAGCTTGGCTAATCAGCATCCCACCTCATAGCCAGTGTTGTAGACATGTAATATTAGCTGATGGGTTCAATTTCAAGAGCACAGTCAATTTTTGGACAGCAAAACCTAGTCAAAGGCTACAAACACATGAAGTAGGTATTTGTAGATGTTATGGTTTCTGAGCCAGCAGAACTCTGATAGGACTCAGTGAAGTTCAGATCGCTCTGTGATGGCTATACATGTCAAACAAGTTTTAATTTAATTTAAAAAAACAGTCTCGGGGATATTATTTCACCTCAAAGTGTTTTTTTGGTGGGTCAAGATATTTTCCATCCTCTTATTCTATGAGCAAGAACCAGGATGATTCTGCATATCTTTAGATTTCTTCATATCATAGCATACAAAAAAGCAGCCTTGTAGAATGCAGAATTCAAACAAGGCAATCCCAGTTTTTCCTCCTGTCTCAGGCTGGTATGCACTAGTGTTTCAAGATGTTATGCAGCTGCTACTTTTCCCCAGAGATGGGTGTACTCCAGTAAATGCTGAAATACTCCCTAAAACATTTCTTTTTTTTCCCAGCAGAGGTTAACAAAGATGTTTCCATAGGTTTAAGACAACACGAAAACATGGCGATTGTCTAGTTGGATTTCTTGAAAAGCATTAACCTTAGATTTACTGCATCAGTAATTAGGAGCTCCAACAGACCACAGAAACAACTGCAGTTAGTGTCTGTAGAATACAGTGAGAGTCTTAGATTACAGTCACAGTTATTTCATTCTGTTCTTGCATTTTTTAAGACCACAGAAGAAACAAACACTTTTCATTTTGTCAGAAAAAGGACTTCCTCTTGATAGCTGCACAGATTTTTTTACTTTCAGCTTATAACTGAATGTCACAGAAGAATAAATTGAATTTCTAATAACTACAGTCAGCTGGATTTAATTCCTTTTGGTGGAAGCACAGCAGTGTCAATACTCAGAGATTTAGTATTATGGCTAATTTATTGCGAGTAAAATGTCAATACTACATGAAAATTTGTCATTTTAGAAAGGTTTAATAAAAAAAGATGAACACAACACAAAACCCAGAAAATATAAGAGCTGATAACTGATCGTTCTACCTCACTTTTTTCCAGATGAGCATCCAGGTGCCAGCTGGTGTAAATGCAGATGCCACTGACGTCAGTGGAGCTGTGTCAGTTTACACGAGCTGAGAATCTGATCCCAAGTGTGCTAGTGCCACTTTTAGATGCTGCCACTGGAATTCACTTCTGCAAGACAATTTAAAAAAAAAAAATCCACACATTGCATTTCTTCCTGTCCCCAAGTGTATAACTGGAAATCTGTTGACAGACTGTGGGAGAGGGCAAGCAGGAGGTGGAAGTAGCCAACAACTGTATCCATGAGATAACTTTCCAGTATCAGTATTAACACTGTTTTGTTGTCTTCCTTTTATACAAATGAATATTTGTCTTCAAAAAGTCTGAATTCCACCTTCCAGTAAGAATTAAATATCAGCAAAAGAAAAATGATTCTGTAAACCGTGCAGAGTATCTGTCTCATAAATATGTTAACATACAATGTTAACCAGCATACAATCTGGATAGATTGTTCTAATGCACCATTAGAAAAAGTATCTAAAACTTGAGATCTGTGTATTCACCAAAGTATTTGTTCCTAAGAAAAAACCTCCCTGCTGTACAGGCAGTAAGACTGGTAAAAGTTCTAAGACAGCTGTTTGAAGTGGCCTGCAAGCCAGACTTCTATCTGGCTGACATCTATCATTCATATTTCATCTGGCATTTATATGTGGGAGAGAGAGAAGGAAGAAGGGAAAAGGTGAGGCAATAAACAGGGCAGAGTAGTATTTGATAGCTCTACCACTTCTAAGCAGGTACAGGGAGCTTTTGCTCCTATTTTACATAAGGCTGTTGTTAAACATGAGTGCACTGTGCTACAGTTGCCAGTATTTACCAGTACAGTGATGGAACACTGGTCTTTTAAAGCAAGATAAAGGTCAAAACAGAAAAGGTAACTAATTAGAACCAAAGATGCAGTTCACATAGCATTGAAGTAATTGTCTGTTTGTGTGCAGCACAACACCCATATCTTCAATTTAGGTCAGGCCATGAAGAGGAAGAAGAGGACTGAAGACTGAGGATGAGATGCTCTACTTCACACAGTTGCCCTCTGGAAGGACTTGCAAAGGCAGTCACTTAAATTATGTACAGGTCATCAGACAAGATATCTAATCTATTCCTAAGACAGGCAGCTCTAGCAGTCCAAATCCCTATGGTCTTTGCAGCCACACGATGAACTACTTCCTCATGTACCTCTGTCAATTCACGTTAGGTTCCGATTTTTTTAAAGCGATATTTCATGTACACCACGACCCTATTGCTCATAGCAAGGAAAGTGCTTTGGTTTATTTATGACCTACTAACCTTAAATTAAAAAAAAAAAAAACTACATCCAATATGAATGTTCACATAAGCTTCCAGATCTGAAAAAAAATTTTAAATAAACCTGGCATTTGTAACAGCCAGCTAAGCCTGGTAAGGGATTTTAAAAAAATGAAAACCAGATGAGAGATGATGACAGCATATTTACCCTGCGTAACCTGCACACACGAGGAATTAGGGCTGGAACCCAGGAATACTTTTTGTACCTAGCTTCAGCCCATTTCACAAGTTTCAGCCCATTTCAGAGGCTAGATAACTAAGGAAATCCTGAGGTTTTTCCAGTATATGGGGTGGGAGGCATTAATAATAACCTGTGAAAGTAATTCCTTCTGAGATGCAATCCACCCAGCCACAAGCTCTGCTCTATGCAGCTTCTCTTCTTCCCCTACCCTCTATCCTGATTGCCAGATAGCAGCCAGGCAGGACCCCATATTGAAATATGAAGTGACAGATGGAAGCAGGGAATAAGAGCATAAGAATAAGTACTGAAAGAAATGACGTACAAAAAGCAAGCTCATAATAGGGTGGATCTGAAACATAAGCAACCCTAAACCATAAAGTCAGTTCATTTGGCTAGAACAAAGTTGAACAGATGCAGATGCACAAAAGACTGAGTTGGAGAGCCTTATTCTCTCATCACTCATGCTGGTGTACAGAAGTCTTCTCATAATATCCATGGAATTAAACCTTTGAAAAACCACTACAAAGAAATGGAAAAATAAAAATAAACTTCAAAGCCAAACTATTGGCAGCAAATATCCCATACAGTTGTATCAGGAAAGAAAGATGTACTGCCACATTTGATTAGAATTCAGATATATTCCTAACCACAGTGGCCTTCCTAAACAAAATACATCTAAACTACATAAAGAAGAAAATTAATGGATTCCATTCTTGTCTAGTTCTCCAATGGACTATATTAATGACTTTGTCTTTCAGTAATATTAGATAAAAATAATGTTGAGTTAAATGATGTAATAAATACCTCTACATGCAGAGCAATTATTTGAAAGAAACAGTCAGAACAAAGTCCTTGTCATGGTGTTTGTTTACAAAATAGACACAGGTACCATACCTATGAGCTCCAGTCTTTTGGTGCGGGTTCCTTTTACAAAGTAGAAACAAACCCCCCAACATTCATAAAGACTTACAAATAATCAGAGATTGATGAGAGAGTATAAAACATCTTTTACCAAAAGATAAGTAAACAAATAGCAATTCACAGAAGTCAATGAATCGGTCACACAATTTCAGCACAGCAAGAGCAGACCTGCAAAAAAGAATTCTGACCAGCTGAGCATCGAGAACGCCTTCTGCAGAAGAATTCTGCTCCCAAATGCAAATAAGGTAAAATTCCCAGATTACCTTGTTTTACCTTCTGATACAGCCTCTAAAACCCTTCTGCAACACAAACATTACAATCCTGCTTTTTAAAATTATTATTCATTTTTATTAATAATTAAGACAATTGATTGGGAAAAAATGTTATGTTACTGTCGAAATTTTTAAGAATAAGGACTTTACTGTGTGATGAGCAGTACTGGATATGCACAGCATGCCACCACCTAAAAAAATACATGAAAACAAATTTAGGTCAAGTCTTAATATACATTCACTATTTTTTTCTCCTGAAAACTCATAACAGGTTCTGCATGTGTGACAATTTGTAAGGAAGAAAAGCCTTCTGTCTCTGTAAGATGTTTATTGAGAAATTAAGCCTCCTTATATATTTTTTATTAATCCTAAGCAAGTTTAAATCCAATTGAACCATGTCAGCAAAAGAAATTTTGCTCTAATTGGCAACACTGATTCATAACACTCTTAGCCAGCTCTGTTCATATATGAAATCTTGTGTTTCATTTTGCTATGAAGTTCAGTCTCAGGAAATAACAGACAAAATTAATCCACTTGTGCCTGCATCCCCAACCTTTATTATTAAAGCCTGAATAAGTGAAATATCTTTTCTTTTCACAGAAAGAAGTTTGGGAAACTGCCAGCTCCTTGCACAAAGACTGAATTACGATGGGCAGAGAAGGGTGTTGGTAAGAGAAAAATGACTGAAGTTGCATCATCTGTATGCTTAAAATCATTGTGTGAATTTTGATTTTCCCCCCCTCCTTTCAGACATTTGAGGATGCGGTCAAGTCAATGGAGTTCTGTTGTAGTGGTTGCTTCAGTGAACATTCAACGCTGTCGGTGAGTTTGGAATTAAAGTGAAAACCATCGACCGTTGATTGTACCCTCCAGCTAACCATCCTCCTCCTTACTTCATGCTTTCAGGCCTTAACACCGAAGATAGCAACCTAACCATCATATGATGTTTCTCCCCCACCCTGCCAAGCTTTACAAAAAAGGTCACAATCAACATTCATTGCTGTCGGTGGGTTTAACTTTGTGGACAAGCTCACTGAACAATGAATGCAACTGTGGCCCCACATTTTACAGTTGCCGTTGAGAGGAACAGCAGCTCTGAAAGCAGTAGTGAGAAACAAACTTCTTATAAGCTACATTTTTCTGGTCAGAAAAACAGTTGGGAGTATTCACTTTTTGCTTGCTTGTTTTTAAGTGTGTTTAACTTAGCTGACTAGAAAAAAAAAACACTGCCTTTTTCTGGAATATTGTCCTTACAGGGTTGAGTATTACTGAAACCATAAAAACTCTTATTTAGTATGTGTGCAGAAATAAATAACTGTACAGGAAACTCTGTATATCCACTCCTAAGGACTCTGACATAGAAGGAAAGAATATTTACATGCCATTTTAACTAGGCATTGTGGAATACTTAAAAAGTTTTTTCTATACTTGTCATGACAAATACAAATGGGAGCAAATGAGATTTCAAAGTTATGGATCAAATGTTTTATCAAATAAATTAATTAATTTTACATGAAATTGTTTCTGAGCACATAAATATTATTAGACAACCCTTACTATTGCATCTGACTTTTTTAGGCATCTGAACAATGACAGAGAAATGTATATCCAGAAATAAAAATTGAAAAGTAGTTAAATTGTAAAATTACTGTAAACTGAGTACCTATGTCACACTCTCAGTATTGCAGATACTAATAAGAAAATAAAAGTGTAAATAAACTCACATTTTTGTCCTTATTTCCTTACAACCCTTTATTAACCTGGTCAGACACACAGAAGGACCAGTCTACATTTCTCACATCACACAATCATTCAAGGTAAGTTCAGTCTTTAGACTTGGTGCAACTCAAATATTTTGCAGTAAGAACTGCTTACAAAGGTTAGATAATGCCACAGCAGTCATGTCATTCTTCCTCATTATGAGTGGGTTCAAAAACAATACTTTGGTTTGGTTATTTACAAAGTTTCCTCAGCACATCAGTTACACAGCAATTTATCTTGTGTACTGTAGTTGCTTTTCTTAAGTTTCACCAGGTAGCAACTGAACAGGATACAAATATCAAGGTTGTCATGGGACAATACACCTATACTTGAACTTTGTGTTATCAGTCTAATTAAATGGTAAAGATATATTTCAATCCTGAAAGAGATCAGTCCTTTGTCATATGCAAAACTAATATTTATAGAAAAAAAAATCAGGCCCCCTCAAAGGTGTAATCACACTAGCACAATAAATCCTGAAATTATTTGGACATTATTTAAAATTGATATTTCAGAAGATTATCTTTTCTTATTCCAATATTTACTAGAGACGAACCCACAGGATCTGAATGCTATCATAGTCAGAGACAGAAGAGTAAAGTATTAAAAGGAAGAGTTGCTACGGATGAATGATTTCTCAGCAATGCTGTTCAGAGATAAGCCTGTATCTTTAGGTTTACCCATTTCTACAAAAATGGGAATTTGAATTACCACAGACTTACATATTGCAGACAGATAAAGATCATATTAAAAGCAAGACTCAAAGGTATACATTCTATCTAGAAGGAGAAATTTTCAAATTAAGCTGAAGCTAGTATGATTCATGCTGTAGCAAAAACAAAGTTCCTTACTGAAACCTAAACCCCGGGTCTTGGTTTTGCAATACATTTATTAATGCTAGTTATAGATAAGTTATGTATTTTTAACAGAGAAAATACTTATCAAAACAGAAGATTCTGGAATTTCTCAACACTGGAAAGAACCAGTGTCCTGGAACATGAGTGGTTTCTGTATGTTTGCTGTGCTGATAATGTTTGAATGATTAGCATTAAGGAGAGACAGACTCCAATGCAAGAAAAAGATAAAGTTATATCCTTTTCTAAGGCAGTACTAATTGAAGATCAGTGATTCCTACCTTACTAGAACAGGGTGCAGAAACCTCAGCCAGCACTGACCTTATTGGCACAAATAATCAGCCCATACCCATTACAAATATAAAACAGATATTTTCACCTAAACTACAAGTTTTTAATGGTTTCTGAAGAGGTGACTCTGCAATAACAGTCTTTTTTAATGGTGCCTAGCATTAAATTTATCAGCGATTTTAGTTACATCATGTTTTCATATACAAAGAGAAAAATGTCTTCTTAGTGTACAGATACATAGTGTTTCACACAGCTTAAAGTCAACCTCTACACACCGGTTATTTAATAATGTTCATTGGAAAGCAATACTTTTATTCCACACCCCACAAGAGATGCTGGCTTGCACTCATCTTTTCTTATGCTGTAAAGCCACAGAACAATCACAATTTGGTGACGATTGCTGTGAAATACTGTGGGAAGGTTTCATGGTAATTTTCCTGGGTTTTGTTAATATGATACATATGTACTCAGTACAATGCCCACAGGCCATAGAAACATTCTAGAAAATTGCTCCTCAGTGTCATTGTAAATAATTCACTCACAGCAATATTTTTAGGTCAAGCATATCAAAGTTGCAGCAAAGGCGATGGACCTTGACATAATAGGAGCACTGGTTTTACAGCAGTGCAGGGAGAGGAGAAGGAATATACTTCCCATACACGAGAGATTAGTTGCTGTTCCCAAGTGTACACATTACTGTGCTTGAAGACAGCAGAGGTGGTACTAAGGGCTTGTTATAAGGTTTGGAGCTGTTGGTTTTTTAAATTACCTCCAAGTACTTTTTTCCCCTTGCTTCTGGCATAAGATGGATCAAAACATCTAATTCAACAGCTTCTGCATTAAGTCTATAGCTTCTGTTTAGCAAGTACAGACAGACACCTGGTTATATCTCTAAAACTACAAGTCAAAGAATTCCTGTGATAGAAATAGTCTGTGATATTCAGAACCACGGCAGGATGAACATGATAGACTTGATTTTTGGCACAGCTGACACCACTATACTAACATCTCTTACTTTACAGATGGTGAAGTGACACTAAATTAAAGAGTTAAATATAGAAGTAGTTTATAGTTGAAATGGAAGCAGTATCTGGACAATTGGCTCCAATTGTGTCTTTTTGGGGAAGAAATACAGAATGATCTGCAATCCTGACTTTTGTGTCATGTAAATACCATGTTTTTCTTGCTGATCACTTTTTTTTCCCCTCTTAATGTATACCTTTGTTACTTGCCAGAGTTACAATGGAAACCAATTTTTTTTTTTTATGCACTTGCCTGGTGACATGCACTACAGAATAATTTTTACATTTTGCCCTTTTATTTAGGTTTGTATAATTTTATTTTAACTTCACATTTTTTCCTTCCTGTGCATCCTCCTTAAGTGTGAGTGCTAGAAATGCAGACCACATTCCAAAGGGCCCGGCCAAGTGTAGATGAAATAATCTGATGCTCCTTTATTTTACAAGTAACCACTGCTCCTTTTCAGCCAAAAATAGCATTTTTAATGGCACCACAGAGTTAACACATTTAAATTTATCTAACATTATTCCATAGACACAGTGTCCACAAGTTCTTTCGTAGTTTAAAATAGATTATTTCGTCCCCTTGAAATGCAACACTTGCAGTTTTTCGAACTTAGGGATTTTTGTTTTCAAAATATAGTTCCTCCTTCCTCCAAAGCATCATTAAGGTTTTGAAACTTAGTGGCAACAATTACACAGTAGCATGTAGTAGTACTTTGAATACAAATACTTTGAATACAAGCAGAAGCCTATCATGACTTAATAAAAAACCCCCAATACTTAAACTTGCCATTGTACTTAATTTCCCTCACATTATTTTCATTAACTGCAAAAGAGGCAATAGAAGCATAATGATTTACTTCCCTTCCTGCTGCCTGCACCCAAAGTATGTTTACAAGCTCAGTATTCGACATCGCCATGTTAGAGCCTTCACTTCATAACAACCAGTAATCACAAATTGAACACAAATACGTCTGACAAATACGTGTAAGAGAAAGTTTATGTTGGAGTTTAGGAATTATTGATCTGAGGATGAAACAGGGCAAGTGTTCAAATTGCACAGCTTCCAAATATGGTTCTTATAAAAACTGATGGAAATGCCCATTTTCTACATTTTCTGCTTATGAGACTGCCTTCACATTGCCACTAGAAACAAAAATATAGTCTCCTCCTCCGTTTGGATGTGAACTGATACCAAAAAATTTCAGGAAAGCTTCCGGTGCATAAACTCTAATCCACATAAGCCATGAATTAGAACAGAAACTTTATGCCTATGATACATATTCTGACTTTTCCTGATTTTACTTCATGAGATACAGCTGCTAGCCTTAAAAGTTGTGATGTTTTAACAAATCCTCTTTAATCTAACAAGCTCACAAATAGACTATCAAGAGATCTGATGATATAAGTTGCTGGGTTATATTTTGTTTGGTGTTTGTGCTTGTTTTTAAATAATCATTATTTTGTCCATTAGAAATCTCATGCTAGGTCTTTAGGATGAAAAACAAGTCTAAAACAGACCAGATAACACAAATCTATGATACCAGTGTTCAGAATGTTCAGATACCAGGTTAGGTAATGAGGAGAAATAGCTGGAAAGTAACATGCACCTGGTCATCAAGATAGTGGAAGTTTCACCTTGCACTGAAGATAACCTACCAATATACATAATATGTATCTAAACTACAGTATCATCTACAAGTACCTGCAAGTTATCCCAATAATCATGTTATTAATCTAATTGATTGCGTAGATCTATTACTTAGTAATTAAACAGTTAAAGTGCTTAGTCACAGGCATTTTGAAACTCTGAAACAAAAAAAAATAAAAATATTAGTTTTAGCTAGCGAGACTTGAATCCAAGTGGTTGCCCTCAAAAAGTCAACATCACCATCTGATGTGTAAAACATTCCTAATTCTCATAAAGTACACCCTGAGCTGATTACTGTGTTTGCCTCAAAATAATGAGCCATGACAAAATATTATCAAATCTCTTAAAAAACCTTGAGTTCATGACAATGGATTTACATTTAAATGCCATCCTATTCACTCAGTATCAATATGCTGCTGTTACCAGACTGACAGACATGATGAAATCAGTGTGTGCTCTCCTACAGACAAGGACAGTAGGCACACTTTAGGGAGGCCACAAACTACTATAGGGATAACAAACCCAGAAGAACTTTGAGAGACATTCACAATGTAATTGTAGAAGACACCAGAAAAGAAAAAAAAAACAAAAAACAAAAAACAAAAAAAGACAATAAAGACAGCAGCCAGCTGTGGCCTACAGCATATCTTAAAGGAAGCCTCTATAGACTCTCCAGGAAGATCTCTGTACATCCCCAAAACAACTGTAGGACATTGTTCCAGAAGATCACATGGATCGTGGTCTGCTAACCAACAAATTCAGATTCTCTGCTGGTTTTGGAGTCAACATACTTTTATTGATTTCAGTGGAATTACGCCAGTTTGTACAAGCTGAGGATTTGGTAAGCCAACACACAAGAGAACTGTAAAACAAGTATGGTCCCGCACATCCTACACTGAGGGAAAAATGCAGAGGTAGATGTCACTCTTGGGGGAGGGGGATGAGAGAAACAAAGAACATGTACTTGGAAAACACATGTTTCCACCTACAGAGAGAGTTTTTCTGCCCACAGACAAACTGTGGGTGGCCCTGGACATACAGCACTTGGACACTTAACTACGTTTGTGCAGATTGCTACTTTGCAGGTACAAATAAGGAGCTTCGGAACACAACAGGCAGGAGGATATTTTTGGGCA